GTTTCCCCAACCGATTAGACTAGAGCTTCCCCAACCGCCCGCTCCACGGGGTGGGGCCTGCCACCGCCAGCCAATCATAAGGCGTATGCAAAGATGGAGGCGGAGCCTGGGGCGGGATCTCCCTGGTGCCCTGGTCTGGCTGCCACTAGAATGTGTGAACCCGCCCCTTCCCTCCAGGCTGGGCTCCTGTTAGTTTAGGTCTCACTGTCTGAAATTATTTTATTTTATTTACCTGTTGTGTTTCTCTGGCTCTGGATCTCCTGACAGCAAGGAACTATCTTTTGTTTACAGCTGGCTGCTCAGTGCCGAGAACAGGCTGGCTTATTGATGCCTTCCATGAGTGAATGTTCATGGACAATTATAGTACCTGTAAGACGAGGAATGTTTCAATGCCTGTGGCTAGAAACCTCAGGCCAGAAGAGGCGAGGTTCGAGGGTGTGTTACTTGCATTCTGGGCCCCCCTCTTTAAGGTTCCATTGCCCTCTCCTTGGGATCCAGATCCTATATCCTATATCCAATTATACCCATTCAGATAAAAAAGTCTCACCTACCCAAGCATTCTTTCCTTAAAGGAGTTTTCAGACTCCAGCATTCATGTAACTCATTTTTGTTTTATTTTTGGTTAATCCTCACCTGAGGATATTTTTCCATTGATTTTTAGAGAGAGTGGAAGGGAAAGGGAAAGACACAGAGCGAGAAACATCAATGTGAGAGAGACACATCGATTGGTTGGGATGGGGATCGAGCCTGCAACCGGTGCACCTGCCCCTGACCAGAATTAAACCTTCGACCCTTCAGTCTGCGCCGATGCTCTAACCACTGAGAAAACCAGCAAGGGCCATCGAACTCATTTTTATTAGGACCCACTATATCAGTGATGGCGAACCTTTTGGGCTCAGCGTGTCAGCATTTTAAAACCCTAACTTAACTCTGGTGCCGTGTTACATAGAGAATTTTTTTGATATTTGCAACCATAGTAAAACAAAATTTATATTTTTGATGTTTATTTTATATATTTAAATGCCATTTAACAAAGAAAAGTTAACCAAAAAAAATGAGTTCGCATGTTACCTCTGACATGCATGTCATAGGTTCGCCATCACTGCACTATATGCTGGCACTGCTGTTGAAATACCAGCCATCCTCCCTGTGCCCAGTCCCAGGAGCAGTGCCTGGTAGGGGAGAGCATGTCACCAAGGCTGGATTCTCCTTGCTGCCTGAGCACTAGGCAGGGTCATTCAGGCTGGACGCCCCTAGGTCCCAGCCAGGGTGGGTGGGGGTGGGCTGAAGCTGGGCAACCAACTCTGCCAGGTTTGTGGAGCTTCCCAAGGGGACAGAGGATGGAGGATGGAGGCCCAGGTGACTCAGAGCTGCGGATGCTGAGGGATGGGGTTCCTGCTGCACACCAGGCCCCTGCTGGGCCCTTTGCCCAGTTCGGTTCATCGGAACCCCGACTCCTTGGCCAGTGGGATCACTCTTGTGCCTTCCGGGCTGATATAGTCATATTTTCTAAACTATTGCATGAGGAGGAAGATGAGATCTGCCTTTGAAGCAGGAAATTCCTTTGTCTTCCTGAGCTCCCAGCCAACAAGCCCTGGGATCCGTTTCAGGCCTTTTCCTCTCCGCAGAGCACAGAGCCACGGACGGCTGGGAGTTATAAATCAGCTGATCTTGGGAGCCCCCCGGGACAGTCGGTGCCTCCTCTGTGGGTCACACAGACCTATTGCACCGTGTTCCTTGTCAGGAGCGTCCAGACGCCACGTTGACCGACTCAACGTCCCCCAAGCCTTGGGCATTGATTCCCCTGCGGCCGATTTCACATGCCGGGGGCCGGGAGCACTTCCCCAGGCCCCATCCGAGGAGCTCCGGGTCCTAGAGCCCAGACAGGGACCCGTGGGAGCTCAGAGCCAGATGCAACCAGGCGAACGCCCTCCCGGTGGGTGGGCTAGGGACTCTGACGCCACCGCCTGCGGGCCCATTGCCTACCCCCAGCCCAGCCCACCGGAAATGACGGCGCAGGCAGTGCTGACGTTGAGGGTCTCGGTCACTCCCAGCCGGAGCCTCTGGGTCCCCGCCACCCGCCACTCCTCTCCGCTCCCCTCCCGCTCATCTTGGATTGAGGTCAAGGGATCGCGGCGCCGGGACACCTTCCTCCGGTGCCCCCACCCCTGCAGGCCTAGCTGTCCTCAGACATTGCCGCGCTGGGCACCGGCTGCACTGAATACTCTTGCCCCATCTGTCCCGACCTCCCACCAGTCTGAGGTCAGTGCCTGGCTGGGTAAGGCGCTGGATGTATTTGAATGAGTGAGGTCATCCGGTGCCCCTCCCTCCCCCCATCAACCATCTGAGTCTGTCCCTGTGGTCGGGAGGTGCTTCCTTATGTCTACCTTGAATCCCCGCAGTTAAACCTCCCAGGCCTGTCATTTAGGATGCCTATGCTGAGTGTCCTCTGCGGCCTCACCCTACTCTTTATTTTTAATCTTCAAGGGACTGGGGAGGAGCCTGCAACCGAGGCACATGCACTTGACTGAAATTGAACCTGGGATTCTTCAGTCCGCAGGCCGATGCTCTATCCACTGAGCCAAACCGGCTAGGGCTCACCCTACTCTTTCAGTACCAAGACATGGGGTTGTTGGGAGGATTCCCCGAGTTAACACAGGCCTAGTGCTGAGAGCAGGACCTGAGCCATGTGAGCAGCAGGCAGTGTTTGCCTTTAGGGCCATTGTTACTGTAACTACTTTTACCTGGAGGATTGCTCCTCACCGACCACTACCCCTCTTCTGGCAGGGCTCCTGGGAGTCCTGTCCTGGGACCTTCCCTTCCTGGTAGGGAGCAGGGGCTGAGGGGGCGGCGAGGCTCTCAGTCAAGGACAGAGCCATGTACCTAAGAGACCTGTAGCGAAGCTCCAGGCACTGCCAGATGCCTGGGCTCCCATTGCACGGGGTCCACCTATCAGACTGGGAGCTCCTTAAGGGAGGCACGGAGCAGGCCCAGCGAGTAAACAAATGAATGCTCTAGAACCAGTGGTGTAGCCGGGTCCTTGGTCCTTCATCCTTCACTGTCCCAGCTCAGATCCACCTGCCCTACTTGCAAAACTCCTCAAAGTACTAAACAATGAATCTGAGGAACAGCCAGTGAATGTATTATTCCTGCTTGCTGACCTGGACAGCCAAAGTGGCTCCATCCTCTATGATCACCCAGGAGTTATCTTCACTCACTGCCCGAGAGGTAATTTCTGTGTCTAGGCCAGTGTTAGGTGCTGGAGTTGCAGGGAGCAAGACAGACCCATTCTCTGCTCCCATGAAGCTTGCATTTCACTAGGAGAGACAGACATCTAATCTAATGAAAGACAAACATGCAAATTGACCATACCTTTGCTGTGCTTTAAGCTGCACCCACCAGCCAATCAGAGCAACTATATGCAAATTAACCCAACCAAGATGGCCGAAGACAGCCACGAAGCTGGAGCAAGCAGGAGGCTTGGTTGCTCCAGTGATGGAGGAAGCCAAGCTTCCCACCTGCTGTGGCCGGCTCTGAGCTCCACTGAAGGCAACAAAGTTTCAATTATAGAAGGTAAATAAATCTCAGAATAAAAAAAGAAAAAGAAAAAAAGAGGCTGGGAGCTTCCGTCCCTGGGGGGCTTGGTCAGCCTGAAAACGGCCCTCAGCCACTCACCCAGGCTCTCCAGGCACCCCAATAGGGACCCCCACCGTGAAGGGGGTATGGCCAGCCTGAAAATGGCCCTCAGCCCCTCAACCAGGCTGGCCAGGCACCCCAACGGGAACCCCCCCACCCTGCAGGGGCTGT